TATAGTTTTACATTCAGAAAACGATGAGTACAGTGGAACCTCGGCTTACAAATTTAATCTGTTCTGTGACCTTGGTCATATCTTGATTTGTTCGTATGCCGAGTCAGTTTTCCTCATTTAAATTAATTGAAATGACATTAATCCATTCCAGCGGAATTCCTGTTCTTAGGAGGCACAACAAAATACTTCATTATGATGCTGATATCAACTCTACATCTTATTTATATATCACAATTCATCTAATTTCACCATCACTCAAGGAATGCACAATAGGTCCATCAGTGTTCAGCATTTCTTCGATATCAGCTTCCTGTAACTCCATTAGCACACAGTCAAGATGAGTAAATAGAACTGTTGACGCTTATTGCTTGGGTAGCGTTTATTCTGTTAGTAGGCTGGATTTGTGAAGGACCTGCCGAGTATGGGCCAACAGGCCTGCTGCAGTGTTCCTCCTTTTTTATGTTCTTATGTTGATGAGTGGAACAATCTGCCTAGTATGGTTATTGAGGCTGAAACTTTGGGTAGTCTCAAATTTGTGTTGGATAATTACACGAGTGAGAGTGGTTGGATGTGATTGGGACTTGCACATGAGTAAATAGAATTTTCGAAGCTTATTGCTTGGGTAGCATTGAAAATTGAGTAGGACAAATATTCTGTTAGTGGGATGGATTGTGAAGGACCTGCCTAGTGTGGGCCAGCAGGCCTGCTTTGGTGTATTTATTATTACGTATATATTATAATAATTTATTATTATTATTATTTTAGGGAAGTGGAGCACAGATCCAATTCCCTTGATCAAGAGCCCCTCACCAAGGGACCTCCCTTGAGGGGGAAGTTTGCATCCTGAAATTTCTTTCATATCCAGAAGCAAAAAATCAATTGAGTGACTGTTCGTATCCTGAAAAATTCGCATGATGGGGCATTTGTAAGCCGAGGTTCCACTGTATATTCATTACTTACCTTAAAATATTTGTAGTCTTAATGTAGAGCAAGAGGTGAGTAGTATTTATTTATAGGAAGTCAGTGTAGGCAGCGGTAGATGTAGGTACAGTACACGTATGTAGCCCCCTTTGAGCTACACTACACAGCCATATTATTACCATGTTCACTGAGTTCAATCATTTCTAACAACTGCCTTTAGATGCCATCATAAACAAAGGGAGAAGTAATGAATAATTCATGCCGAGAATTGTAAACAAATGCATGTGAAGGGCGGTTACTGGGCGAGATGCCAGATTCAATTTTCTCTAATGCTGAATCAGAGAAAATGTAATGTTTGCTCTCCACTCAATAGCATATAAACATGCAATGTTTATATGCTGTGTGCTATTTAACGTGGTTTCTTTTATAATTTTGAAGAAAATATCATATATGGATTAATGAAAATGTCTATATTAACCTAAAATAAGACATTTAATTGCCCAAGAGTGATTATTATTAAACATACATCGCATATAAACATTGCTACACTCCCTGCCTTCCTGCTACACTCCCTGCATGCCTGCTACACTCCTTGCCTCTATGCCTGCCTGCCTCGAATTCTATCGTGTTTCTCACTTTCTTTACCAAAGGAACTTTACTAGGAACTTTCTTTGGGGCCATGGTTACTTATTTCACAGTTGCACTTAATCAATAATCACCAAAAACAATGGATTATAGTGAAATGTTTGGATGATTGAGCAGAAGCTTCCTCACTCGCCCAGACACACAGCCATGCTGACTCAGGAACAGGCAAGCTGCTTGTGGTGGATGCACCCAGTATGGCCTGTAAGTAAAATAACGGCCGATAACCGGAAGCCGAAAAACCAGCTGATAACCGAGTTGGCCGATAAGCAGAACTACCGATAACCTAGGGTCCACTGTACAGTACACTGCTGTATAAACATTTAAAAATATACCACAAATGTTATAAATGGTGCAGAAGTGACATTAAAACATTTTCAAAGATGGTTGACACAAACCCACTACCATTATAGTATGCTCCTCACTTAGCGATGAATTCGTTTACTGCCATGGTCTTAGGAATGGAACTCTGTTGTTAAGCGAGGTGAGGTTGTAGTGTACTGTATATTGTAATAAGCAGAATAGAGGAATTCAGCTCTTAATATACATTATTTAGGTATGTATACTGGGCAGATAGCTTGTTGTAAGTCTGAGTCGTTGGTAAATTAGTACTTCACTAAGTAAGGAGAGGCTGTATATATCATACACATAGGTTTGCATGTGTCGTAGGAGGGGTTCTTGTAATATAAATTAGAGATGGAGTAATACACACCTGCTCGGCTCGGGGTTTGAGTAGAAATTGTGTCATTTGCCGGTACAACCTGTCTCACTGTTGCCTACACCATAACTGCCCCATTCCCATGGGTGGTGCTGGGGTATGAAGTTTCACAGGTCAGCATCACTGATATATAGTGACTCAGTCTTAACCATCGCATTCCTATGACACTACACGAGGTAATAGTATCATACTTAACGTAACATTGATGTGACATGTCCATGTATATAGGGGGAGGATTAAGAACCCCAGTGGAAATAAGCCACACTGATGACATCGCTTTATTGGATTTTCCTGGGTTACTGATTCTCCAGGTTAATAATCTGATGAAAATCTTCACACACACACAACACACACACACACACACACACACACACACACACACACACACACACACACACACACACACACACACACACACACACACACACACACACACACACACACACACACACACACACACACACACACACACACACACACACACACACACACACACACACACACACACACACACACACACACACACACACACACACACACACACACACACACACACACACACACACACACACACACACACACACACACACACACACACACAGAGGTTGGTCAAGAAGTGGAATGATCTTAATGACAAAGTAGCAGATGGCTTCATACACATTAATGCACTCATTCTAGTTCAATTTTTTTTTAAACTGGTCGTTATCCACCAGTGTAGGGTACTCAAAGATGAAAGATACTATACATACCATATCACTCGTGCCAGAAGTTTGCATACCTTGATACACAGGGCCTCGCCCCATTTGCCCCAGCAATGTTACTGTACTCTGGCAGTTAGAATCAGGCATTTACCTGGAGTTTACCTGGAGAGAGTTCCAGGGGTCAACGCCCCCACGGCCCGGTCTGTGACCAGGCCTCCTGGTGGATCAGAGCCTGATCAACCAGGCTGTTACTGCTGGCTGCACGCAAACCAACGCACGAGCCACAGCCCGGCTGGTCAGGAACCGACTTTAGGTGCTTGTCCAGTGCCAGCTTGAAGACTGCCAGAGGTCTGTTGGTAATCCCCCTTACGTATGCTGGGAGGCAGTTGAACAGTGCTAGTGACACCCCTGCTTTTCATTGGGGGGATGTTGCATCGTCTGCCAAGTCTTTTGCTTTCGTAGTGAGTGATTTTCGTGTGCAAGTTCGGTACTAGTCCCTCTAGGATTTTCCAGGTGTGTATAATCATGTATCTCTCCCGCCTGCGTTCCAGGGAATACAGGTTCAGGAACCTCAAGCGCTCCCAGTAATTTAGGTGTTTTATCTCCGTTATGCGCGCCGTGAAGGTTCTCTGTACATTTTCTAGGTCAGCAATTTCACCTGCCTTGAAAGGTGCTGTTAGTGTGCAGCAATATTCCAGCCTAGATAGAACAAGTGACCTGAAGAGTGTCATCATGGGCTTGGCATCCCTCGTTTTGAAGGTTCTTATTATCCATCCTGTCATTTTTCTAGCAGATGCGATTGATACAATGTTATGGTCCTTGAAGGTGAGATCCTCTGACATGATCACTCCCAGGTCTTTGACATTGGTGTTTCACTCTATTTTGTGGCCAGAATTTGTTTTGTACTCTGATGAAGATTTGATTTCCATGTGTTTACCATATCTGAGTAATTGAAATTTCTCATCGTTGAACTTCATACTGTTTTCTGCAGCCCACTGAAAGATTTGGTCGATGTCCGCCTGGAGCCTTGCAGTGTCTGCGAGGGAAGACACTGTCATGCAGATTCGGGTGTCATCTGCAAAGGAAGACACGGTGCTGTGGCTGACATCCTTGTCTATGTCACATATGAGGATGAGGAACAAGATGGGAGCGAGTCCTTGCCTTGTGGAACAGCTTTTCACCATAGCTGCCTCGGGCTTTACTCTGTTGACTACTACTGTGTTCTGTTAGTGAGGAAATTGTATATCCATCGACCGACTTTTCCTGTTATTCCTTTAGCACGCATTTTGTGCGCTATTACGCCATGGTCACACTTGTCGAAGGCTTTTGCAAAGTCTGTATATATTACATCTGCATTCTTTTTGTCTTCTAGTGCATCTAGGACCTTGTCGTAGTGATCCAATAGTTGAGACAGACAGGAGCGACCTGTTCTAAACCCATGTTGCCCTGGGTTGTGTAATTTATGTGTTTCTAGATGGGTGGTGATCTTGCTGCTTAGGACCCTTTCAAAGATTTTTATGATATGGGATGTTAGTGCTATCGGTCTGTAGTTCTTTGCTGTTGCTTTACTGCCCCCTTTGTGGAGTGGGGCTATGTCTGTTGTTTTTAGTAACTGTGGGACGACCCGTGTCCATGCTCCCTCTCCATAGGATGGTAAAAGCTCGTGATAGGGGCTTCTTGCAGTTCTTGATGAACATGGAGTTCCATGAGTCTGGCCCTGGGGCAGAGTGCATATGCATGTCATTTATCACCTGTTCAAAGTCATTTGGCATCAGGATAACATCAGATAGGCAGATAATGCATGAATATTTCCTGAATGTGTATTTCATAAGTCCCTTAACAGTGGTGAGGCCTCTTGATGCAAAGAATTATATCTGCTCTCCACCTAATTACTTCAATCTTCAGGTGTTGTATTAACCTTTGTGGTTAGAGATACAGTATCTTATGAATTTAATATTAATGGTAAATCATTGATGTTTTGAAATCATAAAGATGTTAACATTTATGGATCTTTTCAGATGGTGTCAGGGATAAGGGTGTATGTGGGACACCCAGAGAGATGAACAAATGTTATGGCCAGCAGGTGAGCACTGCACAATTCAACTTTTAGGAGCTGTAAGAATGGGTAATACATACTGCTAGGCATGTAACCTTTGATATTATATATTCATGCTCAATCAGACTTATTAGCATTTAAGAAATTTTGAGTTTCCCTTTGTAAATCATGTGGTAAATATGTGCAACAGTTTCACTTTAAGTGACACTGTTGCACAAATTATATACACAGTACTAGTAAAAACCTTGTTTTAATTCTGTTCATTTTTTCCTGAAGCTGCTCTAGAAGGAATTAGATTTATCCATACATATTTGTGTGTGTAAAGGTAGAAAGTTGAAAGTGAACATAGAAAAGAGTAAGGTGATGAGGGTATCAAATGATTTAAAGATAAAGATAAATTGGATATCAAATTGGGGAGGAGTAGTATGGAAGAAGTAAATGTTTTCAGATACTTGGGAGTTGACGTGTCGGCAGATGGATTTATGAAGGATGAGGTTAATCATAGAATTGATGAGGGAAAAAAGGTGAGTGGTATATGTGGTATATATTGAGGTATATGTGGAGACAGAAAACGTTATCTATGGAGGCAAAGAAGGGAATGTATGAAAGTATAGTAGTACCAACACTCTTATATGGGTGTGAAGCTTGGGTTGTGAATGCAGCAGCGAGGAGGCGGTTGGAGGCAGTGGAGATGTCCTGTCTAAGGGCAATGTGTGGTGTAAATATTATGCAGAAAATTTGGAGTGTGGAAATTAGAAGAAGGTGTGGAGTTAATAAAAGTATTAGTCAGAGGTCTGAAGAGGGGTTGTTGAGGTGGTTTGGTCATTTATAGAGAATGGATCTTCATACGTATAAGCTTCTAAACTGTTGTGTTCTGAGCACCTCTGCAAAAACAGTGATTGTGTGAGTGAGGTGAAAGAGTTGAATGATGATGAAAATGTTTTCTTTTTGGGTCACCCTGCCTCGGTGGGATACAGCCGACTTGTTAAAAAAAAAAATTAAAAATTAAATTGGGAATTACCAACAGGTCCCTAGATATTTTCAAGAGGAAACTTAAATTCCTCATGTTAGTTTTTCAGCCAGACTGTAGTTCATAAGTTGGACTGCTTTTAGCTATTATCAAAGTGTCCTTGGCCCTCTTCTCTTTCTCCTATTCATAAATGACCTACCAAATGCTTCACAATTACTCAAACCCACACTATTTGCAGATGACACTACATACGTCTTCTCTCACCCGAGCCCAGTGATGCTAGCCAATGCTGTAAATACCGAATTACAGAAAATGTCTACCTGGATGGGACTAACAAACTTACACTAAACATTGACAAAACCTACTTCATTCAGTTTGGTAACAGAGCTACAGATGTCCCTCTTAACTTAATGATAAACGGATCACCTATTACAAAGCTAACAGAGGGAAAATTCTTAGGAATCCACCTTGATAATACTTAAATTTCATACACATATACAACAAATTTCTAAGAAAATTTCCAAGACCGTAGGCATACTATCGAAGATATGGTACTATGTTCCACAGTCAGCCCTCCTGGCCCTATATCACTCTTATTTGCCCCTATCTTGCCTATGGAATTTGTGCATGGGGCTCAACAATAATTAACCATCTCAGACCACTAATTACCCAACAAAAGGCTGCAGTCAGAATGATAACAAATTCCCACTACAGGCAGCACACTCCACCAATATTCAAAACACTAAACCTACTCGCCATACAAAACATCCATACTTATTACTGCACCTATTACATACATAGAACACTTAACTCTGATATTAACCATTCCCTCAAACATCTCCTTGCCAACCTCAACAGTACACATGACCATAACACAAGGCACAGATCACTCTTTGATGTTCCTCGTGTCCATCTCACGCTGTGCAAAAACTCGATGCACATAAAAGGCCCTAAAATCTGGAATTCATTAACTGAAAATATAAAAGAAACACTACCTGTTTATAAATTCAAGTCTCTTCTCAAAGATCACTTACTCACCCAAAACCAAATAAATACTGAATAACTGAACCTTATAAATTGTATATCTTAAATGTTTCTCACAATTATATCGCATAAATGTTAAACCTGAGACCCAATCTAACTTTATTTTTTAAATACACTACCTAACAGAATACTCCATTCTACTGAATGTACAGCAATGCATGCAACCATATGACCTGTGTTTGTAATACTCATTTGTGCTTTATTGTTATCTGTTTACAATAATGTTTTATCACTGATTTCATCATTGCTTAGTTAATCTTAAGTTAATTTTAAGCCTGCCCGTAATGCTATGCATACAAGTGGCTTTGGCACGCTGCTCTTACCTGTATTTTTTGTACCTCTGTATGTATGTTCAAATTATTAAATAAATAAATAAAAATAAAAATCAGGCCATCCCCTGGGAGGCCTTGTCTGGGACTAGGCCATAGGGTCATTGAACCCCTGAGCACACACTGGATAATCTCTTCAGGTAGTCCATCTTGTTAGTACTGGTGGTACACTAGTTTATTTCAGCATTGCAGTAAGTCATTGGTTTTCTTGAATGTTTATTAATTACAACATCTGACAGAATAGAATGTCTAAGAGGGTATAGAAATTTAGGGTAGAAGGAAGGAGTGGTAGGGGTCATCCCACGATCAGGGTAAGTTGCAACATGATTTTTATGGCTTGATATGCTGTTGGAGTATGAGTAAGGTAACATTTACGAAAGGGCTCAGGGAAACCAGTTAACCAGACTCAAGTCCCGAAAGAGGGTCATCTGAGCTGTGAATTCAGTGGACTTTTGACAAGGCAGCCATTGAATAAATAATGGCGAGTGGTTTTTTTTTTTTCGGATGAGGTGGGGAGTCCCCCTACTTTTGTTGTATTTAAAAACAACTTTGTTTAGTATCCAGTACAAGAGCTCTAGCAACTGTTGTACTGTTATGTATGTTCTTGGATTCTTTACTTGCATTACTATATAATTAAAGTTTTCCTTCTGTCATTTTTGTAGTATTGTACAGTAGTTTATTTACAGAGAAAATACAGTACCCTGTAATTTAATAAAGCTTCACCATGTTTAAATCTTATTAGGTAGAAACAGAATAGTGTTAAATTTTTCAGTTTAATAACATTGAAAGTTAGAATAATCATACTGGTAAATAATTTATTTCAAGGAAGTTAATTACAGAGATACCACAGCTTTTAAAAATTAAGTTTTGCAGATTGTACTTATGTTTGTGAATTAGCAAATAACAGTGAAAGCAAAACATTTGTGTGTTGAAAGAAGAAAAGAAAATAATCATTGGTGTTGTGCCCAGATACAGTATAAGAACTAAGCATTAAGCAGTATAATGCTAGTAGGCTTTGAGCTAATTGATGTTCATATTGCACAATAGCTGTTTAATATTTTAGATTTGTATTATTGTGTATATTCAATATATGATCAGGGCTGAAGTTCTCATTTCTTGATATAATAGGTTCTGTTTCTTATTTTTGATATATTCAGGGGGGTGATTGTGTAAATTGTGGAGTTAGCACATCTGCACTACGAAGTGAATTAGAGGTGCTGAAGCGACGCTTGCTGGATCGTGACGTAGCTATAGTACAACTGGAAGCGCAGATGGCACAAGACAGGCCTGATCATTACCCACAAGGTCAGGTGACTGTCCTGAGAGCACAGTGTGATCACTGGCAGGATAAATATGATAGGTAAGAATAACCTTATCTTGTTAATTAGGGGGAAACCCCTTTGTATTGAAAGCTCTTGATCCTCTCCACATACACAGATTATCTCTGTTTATGCTGATACTTGTCAAAGTCACTCAGATGTTTATTTCACACTTAATTCTTAAGACAACAATGACTACATTAAAGGCTTCAATAATGGTTTTGAAAAAATTTAATTTGATTTTTTTTTTTTTTCCACATTTATGTAGCTGATAGTGTAATCATAGAAATAAGGTTCATGCTCATGGTTTTTAATGTATTTATTACCACTTCCATCTCATTGTTTGATATGGTTTTTAATTCTCATAGTGCATTGCAAGATATCCACTTTTTTATTATTATTCCCATCCCTTTATGATTACCTACGTGTAGTTACAAGAATGTAATAATGTTGGTAGAATTACCGACAATATGTCAAGTAAAAGGACACAAGTGCAACTAATGTGACATTTTATTGTGGCAACGTTTCGCTCTCCAGGAGCTTTGTCAAGCCGTTACAAACAGTACACGGACACAGAGGGTATATATAGGCTCAGAGTGAGGTGCAATACTAGTGGTAGTAGTAATAGTGACATAAGTTGTAGTAGTAATACAATAGGGTAGAGCAATTAAGTCGTACATGAGTAAAAGGATATAAAAGCTATTACTTGGGTAACATAAAAATAGGTTAGACAAATATAGACTGGATAGAGAAGGCCTGTTTCAGTGTTCACTCTCTGTAATGTGCTTTGTGTAGTATTAACAGGAGAGACTATGTGATGGCAGGGTTTACTGTTTTCAGGAGGATTCTTGCTAAGACTTCAGAGATGGTGAAGCTGCCTTTGTTTTGTTTAATCCTATTCGAAACTGCGATTAGTGCTGACTCGAGGCACTTGCGTCTGCAGAAATTAGTTTCTTTGATCACTAATTGGGCGTCCCTGAATTTCATGAGATGATTGGAGGAATTTCGGTGTTGTACACAGGCGTTCAAGTTATCGTTCCTACATGCGTAAATGTGTTCATTGAGGCGGGTGTCGAGGTTTCTTGCTGTTTCACCTACATAAATCTTGTCGCAGCCTCCACAGGGTATAGTGTAAACTCCTGCATTGACTGGTTCGTGGTGCTTTGATTTTGTCCTGGTCAGATCCTTTATTGAAGTCAAGATACTAAGACCAAAAGAGGCATCATCATCGGGTTTTTCCTAAGAGCATACCGAATTTGTAGTCCTGAGTTTCTCGACGAGGAATGTACATACCTGAGTTACATTTTTCTTCCTTTTTCATCAAAGACTGCAAGAAAAGAGCTCTTCAGATCATTAATTCTCCACGCACCAGCACCACTCCTAACAAAGTTATAATTCTTCCCAACAGCCAGGTTGCACTGAACGTTTCTAAAGTAGTACTTTCACAAGCTAACACCAGAGTCGCCATCGCTTCCAGCACTTCAGTGAAGGATCTGACCAGGACAAAATCAAAGCACCACGAACCAGTCAATGCAGGAGTTTACACTATACCCTGTGGAGGCTGCAACAAGATTTATGTAGGTGAAACAGCAAGAAACCTCGACACCTGCCTCAATGAACACATTTACGCATGTAGGAACGATAACTTGAACAACGCCTGTGTACAACACCGAAATTCCTCCAATCATCTCGTGAAATTCAGGGACGCCCAATTAGTGATCAAAGAAACTAATTTCCGCAGACGCAAGTGCCTCGAGTCAGCACTAATCGCCGTTTCGAATACAACTAAACAAAACATAGGCAGCTTCACCATCTCTGAAGTCTTAGCAAGAATCCTCCTGAAAACAGTAAACCCTGCCATCACATAGTCTCTCCTGTTAATACTACACAAAGCACATTACAGAGAGTGAACACTGAAACAGGCCTTCTCTATCCAGTCTATATTTGTCTAACCTATTTTTATGTTATCCAAGTAATAGCTTTTATATTCTTTTACTCATGTATGAGTTAATTGCTCAACCCTATTGTATTACTACTACTACTACCACTAGTATTGCACTTCACTCTGAGCCTATATATACCCTCTGTGTCCATGTACTGTTTGTAACGGCTTGACAAAGCTCCTGGAGAGCGGAACGTTGCCACAATAAAATGTCACATTAGTTGCACTTCTGTCCTTTTACTTTACACAGTTACATGAATAGAGCTTTACTCATGGTGTTGTACCCCAGTATTGAGATTCATATAATTTTTTTCAGTAGTTTATTACTCTGTAAAAAAATACTACCTAATATTCTTTCATCACTTTTTTTTTTTTTTACCATTATGGCTCTCCTCTTCTTTGTTTATAGTATACTAATAAGTTATCTATCCATTTTTCTAGTATTCTTGTATGATGGATGCACATTTTCTCATAATGTACTTTTGTGGGCCTTGTGTATTAGACCGTGAAAGTAAATTTGTCTGCATCCCTTATGATTCTTGGTTAAAAATTTGCATCTACTATTTCAATTCACTAAAGGGAAAACAGCTGTCAAGAAAACAGACTTTATGTTCATTTCTAACATTTGTTGAGTTTGAAATGTTGTCATTGTGGTGCTATTAGTGTCATAAAAGTGAAATGAAGTGGCATAAAAGATTATTTTATGGTTTGATTAATTTGAGTCCTTTTCAATATTTTTTAAAATTAATAAGTCTTAATGGACTGACAGTAAAACATAATTACCTGTAATTTATTGCTGGATTAGTCATTTTAATTACTTTTAAAAAATTTTCATAGGTCTTGATTTATATAAGACTTGATTTGAATAGTGACTAGTTTTTGCACTGCTCAACCTGCTGCATTTGCAAGAAGCTGCGTGCTAGATAGCTAATGAATAGATAGCTAAAAAGTATTTTTGTTAAATTGTAGATCAACTTTTATTACTTTGGATTGTTCAGTGAGTTACTGCACCACAAAACAATTTGTTTAATATTAGGTTCAGTGCTGTTGAAGTTCAGAAAATTATATTAGGTAAAAATAATTTGAATTTGTTGGTAATATTAGTATTAGAAAATACAGCACTAAAAACTTGACTATTTCTTTCTTTCCTAAATCAGATTAAAATGTCATTTCTCTTCATAAAACTGGTTGAAACGGTATAATTAGCAGCTCGTTATTAACCTACAGTTTAGAGCGGAAACCTTGTACAATGCTTGGGTCGACCCTGAACCATTATTATAATCATCAGATAATAGTCCAAGATGAACCCAAATATTATTTAAATTTTTTCTTTCCAAATTGTGGGTTAATGGTGAATTTTTCCAGTCACAGTATGTATTGTGACTTGTACTTCATCATAAGCATAATTTTCAAAGTAAATTAAATTTAGCCAGTCGTGACCAGGGCTTGGTTAAGTTTCCAGGTCTCATACCAGTTATGACCTTGAGAAAATTATTGGTGTCTGTAGATGTCTGGTAAATAATATGAATGAATATATGTCCTTTTGAAAAGTAATCTGTTTCTTCAATTTCATAGAGTTCAGATTAATAAATAATGATTATGTCACCAGGTTAACAGGATTTTAAAGGTAAGGTTTGCTATTACCTCCTTCCTCTATTTGTTTTTGTATTTACCCCATTTTTCTAAATTAGGATTTTAATAGATATTAATTAGACAATTTTCTCACCCTTTAACTTTTTTTTTTTTTTTTTTTTTTTTTTTTTTTTTTTTTTTTTTTTTTTTTTTTTTAATTTGGAGGTTAACTGTGCCTCAGATTTTTTTACTAGCTAAAGCCCTGGTCTTGACAAATACTTTACATATTTTTACTGGACAAACAATATCCCAGAATGTAAGATAATCTTTGAATTTTTTTTTTTTTTTTTTTTTTTTACAAGATAGTTATTGTGCTACATTTATCAATACACATTTCTCTCCCTGCATATGTACTTATATATTTGTCTCAAATGGTCCGTCACTCTTGAGCCTCCCAATAAAGGTGGGCATCACCTGCTTGCGTACACACACGTACACACGTGCACACACACACACATACACACACCACACACACACACACACACACACACACACACACACACACACACACACACACACACACACACACACACACACCACACACACACACACACACACACACACACACACACACACACACTCACTCTCACACACTCATGCACTCACTCTTGTTACATTTATTTTAATTACTAAATCATTTCCTATTTTTCTTTAACATCAGTCTTCCTATGCATTTCACTCTTTTTTATTATATATCTTTATTATGTGCTGTGTTTTATCTAGTACAGTATCACTGTATTAAACTTGGTTAATCATTGTGGTCATCATCATGCATTATTCTGATGCCTCTTTGACACACATTGCTATTGTACACAAGACACTTTTTAACAAATACATAATTCAGAAACAGCAGTTTGCCTTTTTTTATCACTTCATTAAAGACACTATAAAAAGTAAAAACTCCTAGAAGCCCCTTGTTATTACTGCCAAATGTTGATACAAATAATGAAAATAATAAGCAGCACATGGAGACACATTTAGTTATTTATAATCTGAATTTCACTTGAATTTACACAGGCATGGCAACTACTCGTTGCATGGTAAATGTCTTTTTGTATAGATCCCATATTTGGATTTCAGAATGTTAGTACAGTATTGTGATATAAATCTGAAATGTAGATTTAATAAGAGATTAAAGTGAACTTGTGCAGATGCTTAAGCTCACTAAATTGTATTTGTATCAGGAAGTTTATTGTGAAGTGGTTGCATTTTAGTCACTCTGAGTCTGGCTTTTCTTAATCCGCAGGCTTCTTGAGGCTCATAAGCGACTTCAGAAAGTGAACCAAGGGCTTGAAGACAAGCTTTTGCGTCTGGTGGATCGCACCGAGAGTGAGAAGTCCACCTTGGCTGCTGATACAGCCAGCCTTACTACAGCCCTCACCACTGCTGCACAGGCTATCAATAGGCTTAAACAGGAGAATGTAAGTGTGATGTAAAATGATAATTATTTTTAGACAATTTTTTTTTTTTTTCAACAAGTCTGCCGTCTCCCACCGAGGCAGGGTGACCCAAAAAAGAAAGAAAATCCCCGAAAAGAAAATACTTTCATCATCATTCAACACTTTCACCACACTCACACATTATCACTGTTTTTGCAGAGGTGCTCAGAATACAACAGTTTAGAAGCATACACATATAAAGATACACAACATATCCCTCCAAAATGCCAATATCCCAAACCCCTCCTTTAAAGTGCAGGCATTGTACTTCCCATTTCCAGGACTCAAGTCCGACTATATGAAAATAACCGGTTTCCCTGAATCCCTTCACTAAATATTACCCTGCTCACACTCCAACAGATCGTCAGGTCCCAAGTACCATTCGTCTCCATTCACTCCTATCTAACACGCTCACGCACGCTTGCTGGAAGTCCAAGCCCCTTGCCCTCAAAACCTCCTTTACCCCCTCTCTCCAACCCTTTCGAGGACGACCCCTACCCCGCCTTCCTTCCCCTATAGATTTATATGCTTTCCATGTCATTCTACTTTGATCCATTTTCTCTAAATGACCAAACCACCTCAACAACCCCTCTTCTGCCCTCTGACTAATACTCTTATTAACTCCACACCTTTTCCTAATTTCCACACTCCGAATTTTCTGCATAATATTTACACCACACATTGCCCTTAAACAGGACATCTCCACTGCCTCCAACCGTCTCCTCGCTGCTGCATTTACCACCCAAGCTTCACACCCATATAAGAGTGTTGGTACTACTATACTTTCATACATTCCCTTCTTTGCCTCCATAGATAACGTTTTTTGACTCCACATATATCTCAACGCACCACTCGCCTTTTTTCCCTCATCAATTCTATGATTAACCTCATCCTTCATAAATCCATCTGCCGACACGTCAACTCCCAAGTACAGTGGACCCCCGCATAGCGAACGCCTTGCATAGCGAACATTCCGCATAGCGAACGCTTTGATCGCTAAAATTTTGCCCCGCATAGTAGACAAAAACCCGCTCAGCGAACTTCGTCCGAGACGCGTCCAATGTGGGCCCTCAGCCAGCCTCACATGTGCCGCCCGTCCCATTGTTTACCAGCTAGCCTCCGCGGTAACATTCAAGCATACACTCGGAATATTTCGTATTATTACAGTGTTTTCGGTTCTGTTTGTTGAAAATAAGTGACCATGGGCCCCAAGAAAGCTTCTAGTGCCAACCCTGTGGTAAAAAGGGTGAGAATTAGTATGGAAATTAAGAAAGATTTTGAAGGGTTTGGGGCTAACCCTGAGAAGCCTATGCCAGTTGTGGAATCCATTGTGCCTACTTCAAAAATTAAGGAAATGTGTGCACAGTGGGTTGAACTGCAAACCTTTATGGATGAAAATCACCCTGACACAGCTGTTGCAAGGCGTGCTGGTGACTATTTCAATGACAATGTTATGGCCCATTTTAGACAAATCGTAAAGGAACGGGAGGTACAGAGCTCTATGGACAGAAAGAAGTCCAGTGACTCTGAAGCTGGTCCTAGTGGCATTAAAAGAAGAAGGGAAGTAACCCCGGAAAAGGACTTGCCTCCTCAAGTGTTAATGGAAGGGGATTCCCCTTCTAAACACTAACACTCTCTCTCCCCTCCTCCCATCCCATCAATCATCACCAGATCTTCAATAAAAGTAAGTGTCATGTAATTGTGCATGCCTTTTTCAGTTTGTGTGTACTAAAATTAACATTTTTTTGTGGTAAAAAAAATTTTTTTTCATACTTTTGGGTGTCTTGCACGGATTAATTTTATTTCCATTATTTCTTATGGGGAAAATTAATTCGCATAGCGAACATTTCGCATAACGACCAGCCCTCTTGCACGGATTAAGTTCGCTATGCGGGGGTCCACTGTATCTGAAAACATTCACTTCTTCCATACTCCTCCTCCCCAATTTGATATCCAATTTTTCTTTATCTAAATCATTTGATACCCTCATCACCTTACTCTTTTCTATGTTCACTTTCAACTTTCTACCTTTACGCACATTCCCAAACTCATCCACTAACCTTTGCAGTTTTTCTTTAGAATCTCCCATAAGCACAGTATCATCAGCAAAAAGTAACTGTGTCAATTCCCATTTTGAATTTGATTCCCCAAAATTTAATCCCACCCCTCTCCCGAACACCCTAGCATTTACTTCCTTTACAACCCCATCTATAAATATATTAAACAACCATGGTGACATTACACATCCCTGTCTAAGACCTACTTTTACCGGGAAGTAGTCTCCCTCTCTTCTACACACCCTAACCTGAGCCTCACTATCCTCATAAAAGCTCTTTACAGCATTTAATAACTTACCACCTATTCCATATACTTGCAACATCTGCCACATTGCTCCTCATATACCTTTTCTAAATCGTAAATGCAATAAAAACTTCCCTGCCTTTATCTAAATACTGTTCACATATATGCTTCAATGTAAACACTTGATCTACACATCCCCTACCCATAAATAACAAAAAAGGCACAATACCGTGACTGGAACGATACACAAATAACCCGCACATAAAAGAGAGAAGCTTACGGCGACGTTTCGGTCCGACTTGGACATTGACAAAGTGTGACTTTGTCAATGGCCCAAGTGGGGACAAAACTCGGTAAGCTTCTTCTTTTATGTGCGGGTTATTTGTTACCCCCTACCCACTCTAAAAACCTCCTTGTCTCCGAAACCCTACATTCTGTCTTACCTCTAATTCTTTAAATTTAAAACCCCTACCATACATTTTTCCGGGTTACCAGTAAACTTTTCCTCTATAATTTTTAAGTCTTTTTGCCCCCCTTTCCCCTTTAATAAAGGATATCATCTCTCTCCCAAACCCCCTAGTACCTTCCCTTTTTCATACTTTTATTAAACAAAAGTCCCAAACCCGCCCCAACCTGACCCCCCCCCTGCTTTTAACATTTCTGTCATGACCCCCATCATTTCCCAGCTGCTTTTACCCCCCTTTCATTCTACGAATGCCTCCGTACCCCCCACACTTCATTCGCTCTTCTTACTCTAAAAGATGGTATTCCCCCTCCGTGATAAAAATTACTGCCCCCCCTTTTCCTTAAATTTTTTAAAAATTTCCCAAAAATATTCTTCGCCATTACCAATACCTCCACCCCCCCATTACTAATCCCCTACTCTGTTTTTAACTGACAAACCATATTTTTCCCTAGGCTTTCTTAACTTGTTTAACTCACTCCAAAATTTTTTCTTATTTCATTAAATTTCTCGACAGTGCCTCCCCCACTCTTCTCTGTCCCCTTTTTGCCCTCTCCCACTCTCTTTCCCTTTCTTTTACTCTCCATTACTTGCTCTTTTAAAAATACTTTGCTTTGAAAAACCCCCTTTCAAAGCTCCCTTTTTTTCTTTATCACACCCCTTAATTTTTCATCTTCCAAAAACACTCCTCTTTCCTCCTGCCCCCACCCTCCTATAACCAAAAAATTTCTCCCCCCCACATTCAAATACGCATTTTTTAAAAAATTTTCCAACCCTTTCAAAACCCCCCCATATCATCTTTGCACTAGCCCACCTTTCTGCCCAAAGGCTTATATCTCGCCTGAATTTCCCCCTCCTTAGTTTATACACCTTTTACCTCCCCCTTTTTTGTTTTGCCACCTTCCTCTTTTCCCATCTACCTTTACTCTAACGTAGCTACAAAATAAATATTTATTATTTTTTTTTTATTATCACACCCCCGATTCCCCCCAAGGGAGGGTGGCCCAAAAAGAAAAACTTTTACCCTCATTTACTCCATCCTGTCTTGCCAGAAGGGTGCTTTACACTCAGTTTTTAAACTGCAACTTAACACCCTCCTTCAGAGTGAGGCACGTACTTCCTCCCAGGACTCAAATCCGGCCCGGGTTTTTCCCGAATCCCTTTTAAAGTTACTTTGCTCACACTCCAACAGCAGTCAAAATATTAAAAACCCTTTTTCTCCATTCATTTCCCACAAACAGCTCACGCATGCTGCGGAAGTCCAAGCCCCCCCGCACACAAAACCTCCTTTACCCCCCTCCCTCCAAAAACCCCTTTTAGGCCGACCCCCACCCCCGCCTTCCCTTTCCCCTACAGACTGATACACTCTTTAAGTCATTCTGTTCGTCCATTTTCTCTACTTCCGAACCCCTCAAAACCCTTCCCCAGCCCTTGGCAAAAGTTTTGGTAACCCGACCTCCCCAACTTCCAAACTACGAATTTTTTTCTGCTTATATTTACACCACACATGCCCTCAGACAGACATTCCACTGCCTCCCCGCCTTCTCCTCGCTGCAAATTATCACCCCGTTACACCCATATAAGAGCGTGGTAAAAAAAATACTCTCATACATTTCCCCTCTTTGCCAAGGACAAAGTTTTTGTCTCCACAGACTCCTAAGGCACCATCACTTTTTTTCCCCTCATAATTCTATGTTTCACTCATCTTTATAGCCCCATCCGCGACACTCCACTCCCAAAATATCTGAATCGTCCCCTCCTCCAACTCTCTCCCCCCAATTATATTCAATCTTTCATCACCAATCTTTTTGTTATCCTATAACCTTCTTTTCCGTTTTCCCTTTAATTTTCTTCTTTTGACACCTACCAAATTTCCACCAATTCTGCAACCTCTTCAGAATCCCCCAAGAGCACAGGTATGGGCAAAAGAGCAGCTGTGACAACTCCCACTTTGTTGGATTTTTTACTTTTAACTCCACGCTCTTCCCAAGCCCCTCGCATTTACTTTCTTACAACCCATTAAAAATATTTTAAAAACAACCACGGTGCATCAACATCCTTGTTAAAGGGTATTTTTACGGGGAAAAAAAATTTCCCTTTTCCTACATATTTAAATTGAGCCCACTACCCCGTAAAAACCTTCACCTTTTCAAAACCACCCCCTCACCATACACTTGAAAACATCTGCCACATTGCCCCCCTTCCCCCCTGTCATACC